AGCATATAACTACACAATGGGTTATCTGCATTCTGCCCACCGTGGGGGGGGGGGGTATTGAAACCTGATTTTTAGCGTTATCAGTTCTCAGACATTATTACTGAGCTATCGGAGGGCTTATAATGCAACATCTTTATGTAAATGTACAACAGAAGTTAGGTTGTTAGAAATGCTGTTTTGGAACCTTTTTTTGTGCGTCCGAGAAATTGAATACAGTTTCTAATAGACACTACATTTAGAAGCTATTATAGAAATAGAAAACTCCCAGTTTATCTAATTCCTCAATCACTTAAACATAATTTGTTATCAGTTAAATGGAAAGAAAAACCTTGAGAATAAATAATACGTTAAACATCTACTTCTTAATGACGGAAGTATGCTTACGTAATAACGAACCAAGCCCTCGTGCTATTATGAAATCAAATACACCTGTTTTATAAAGGGGTATTATTACAGGTCTAGGGAAGAAGTTCGGGACCTGGTATAGTCAGAGCATTCGACTTGTAATCTGCAGATCACGAGTTCCAGTCCCGCCATCGAACAAACTCACCCTTTCAGCCATTGGGGGCTTTATAATATGACGGCCAATCCCATGCTTTGTTTTTAAAAGAGTAGCCCAAGAGTTGGCGGTGGGTGGTGATGACTAGCTGCCTTCCCTCTAGTCTTACATTGCTAAATTAGGGACGGCTGGCGCAGATAGCCCTCGTGTAGCTTTGCGCGAAATCCATAACAATAACACTTTCTGGGAATTCAATGAAATCATGATGGTCACTTTAAATAATCATGATGGTCACTTTAAATAAATAAACATAACATTTCTCTTCACAATGAAAGGTTCGAATGAAGATCATCGATATATACTTTTGTTGTTGTTTTTTTTGTGTGTGTCTGTAGTGTAAACATATCCAAAACATTACCAGCATTTTTGACAAAATACGTTTCTTACTCGTGCAGACAAATATACAACGAAACTAGATTCAATAATTAATTTAATAGTGCAATAAATATACACTTTTGTTGAATAAATAAACAATTGAATAAATATCATACGAGGTTGTGCAAAGGCCGCGCAATGCGTGAGTTTTATGCCTTTTTATTAGTACGAAAACGTATGTTGCATGAAACACGCTGAAAAACGATAGTATTTGGGCCTTTCTGCTGGGATTTTGATATATCTAAAGATCAAAAAGTAAGTACCCCAAAATGTATGTAAAACAAACTATACTACCATTAACTGCAAACATTAATAATGAAAATACACCATAAAAACCTCTGTAGAATGAGATAATATTCTACTGTAAAAAGGTCTGACAACGCCATTTCTAATGAAATTTGTAAAAAGGAAAAGTAGGC